ATGCTCGGAGGATGTCCTGCATATGCCGAATTCCTTTGCGCAGCAGATATATAACAGGCAATGGATCAAACATCAAGATGCGATACTCTTCATTATGGCCATCACCCAGGGGCTGAATCATGAAAAAATGGCGTTCATGGGCTGGGGAGTCGCGCTGCTCCCAAAACTCGACATTGATATCATGTTTTAGCCATGGATGGGCCGTTTGGCTCCGCAAATCGAAGAGATGAGCTGGCACATCAGCCATGGCTTGGGCATACTCCAAACGAGAGAGCAGAAATCGGGTGCTCAATGAGAGGATCATTGTTGTTCGACTATCTCCGAGTACTTTGAGAGCGTTCTCTTGATCAAGCATTTTCAATTCCTTGTATTCGTCAGGCCGCTTGTCAACATTCAATAAGCTGAAGAACATCGTCAAGTCGTCGATGGTGTCAGAATTGTGCCCAGGATCTCGGTTATTGCTGTCGTTGATGTTTTTGCGCGTGAAATACTCTTCAATGTCAGTGGATGCGGCTTGCCCATCCGCTCTTTGCCAAAGAAAAACGCAAAATTAGGATCTTCACGGTCTTCAGCGACCTCATTCACCCATTGGGGCTCGTGTTCGTGGGGGCGCGAAGGCTTTGCAAAGGTCGAATTGGTCGTGGAATGCATCGAATCGGCGTTGATTTGGCCCATAGAAATCCCAAAGTTCCTCCGCTTTGCCGTGAGTTATGGAGCGGCAGATATAGTATCCATCTTTGTTGGTGTCTTTCCAACGCCAAAAAGTTGCCCTCTTCAACATCTTTCCCTTCTGTGCCTCGGCCTCACAAGCAGAACGACGTTGTCGTTCTGAATCTTTTTCCACAGCACGCATCTTTTCATTGACGATCTCTTGACGGGCAAAAAACTTCGACAGGCCGGATCACTTGCAGGGAGCTTGCGGTTGCAAGGTGTTTGCAGAAGGGAATAGTGACATGTAGAAAGAATGGAACATGGATAGTATTTTCAAGAATACCCTTCACAAACCACTCGATCCGTCGATAACTGCTAATGGCCTCCACCGTCGAGAATTCGATGATGCCTCCAACGCAATTCTGGATACAAGTCTCCATGATATCTTCCAATGTATCTCGCGTTGAAGGTTGCATTGCTAGCTCGCTCGTAATAGCTGTCCGCCAATCGTACCGGGCGAAGTCGAGCATCAGTAATCTCGAAGGTAAGGACGGCCACCAGAGGTAGGAAGGCATCGCGCGAGGCATAGACAGCCTGGAGTAGTTTAGATTCAGTAGTGGGTCCCATTGTGTAGCCATACGCGGCAGGAACGAGGGGCAAATACCCGCGAAAATGGTTCGGAAGGCATTCCCGAGTTTTCTTAGATGCCCAGGTGAGAGCAAGTTCGAGCAGGCCCCTCTGCTCTGCACCGACGTAGGCAGGTTTCTGGGTCCAGTTGCCAGACATCGCCTCGGAACAAAGTGGGAACGGAAGCGGGGACGACATCGAGAGAATGAAGCAATGGACCAGAGAATATGTTGACGCTCGGGAGAAGGAGGGTGTGCGGGAAGTCGGGATTCAGCCATGAAGTTTGGTAAAGTGGCGGAGGAGTTTCCGAAGAATAGTATCACACAGGTTTTGTCAATAAATATTTGGGCTTGAATGAGGTGCACTTATTATCTACAAAACGTGAGCAGGAGGGGAGTAGGTGTGTTGATTATGTGAGCCTGAAGTGTAATTGGTCAGCTATTGCATATACATTGTAGATTGTTGTATGTGGTATATAAGGGGGTTTAAAGAAACAGAACCCCCCAGCGAGCCTAATAGTTGGAGTACACCAGGACAACTACCTGTCAATTCTCCGCAGTAGGCACAGTGTATGCTACATTTGATACTCCTGTATAGAACTTGATTTCTTGTAAATTAGAGACATTCTTTACAACCCCTTTTTTTCTTCAAGTTTCTATATATATATTAGGTAAAAAATCTCTAGTCTGTATTTTTCCCCCCACATTTTCAGGCAAAAGTTGCCACGAAGAAAGGTTAAATTTTTCGCTGAGGCGTCTGCTTGAAAAGGCCACAGTTTTTGGCTGATTTTTCGCAGGGGAAGGTTGTGCACACAGCCGGGTGTCTTTTAGGGACCTGTCTCCTCATAAGTTTAAAGTGTGGGAAAAAGAAAAGTACCTCCAAAGGGCACATATGGCCAGGCGGGGGTCGATCCCGGGCGTGGTGGCAGTGGCGGGCTGTCAGCGTGGAGTCTACTCAGTTGAGCCCGGTGGGTATGCTCATGTCACCCGGTGGATGTGTGTTGTACAACGGGCGGTTGATTCTGGGTGCCGGGCCTAGACCGCGGGCTGGCGGGGGTGAATGATAGATAAATACACTGGCACCCCATTCCGTGCGCGTGCGCGACGGGCACGCGTGCCGGTGTACGCGCCCGCCAGCACGGAGTCGTGTCCGGCCACGGCCCCGGTCCCCGCCCGCGATCGGCCACAGTGCGTTCTTTCCTTTTTCCCTTCTTCTTCCTTCTTCTTCCCGCGCGGAGCCGCCGCCGCCGCCCTGATCAGCGCCCAGCGCCCAGCGCGTGCACGCGGTTGATCGGACCAGCGGGGGTTACGTTGTCGCTAAGCGCCGTGACATCACGGGTTACGCGTTACCGTCACTGTGACCAGTGACGGGTCACGTCACGACTTCTTCCGCTGCTCGTATCATCCCCTCGCTGCCCCGCCCACCTGCCCCGCGCACACATCCGCGTGCGCAGCGACACGACACCGGAGCCGGCTGCCAGCGGCGTATCGAGGACCGCTGCCCGTGGAGGAGGGACAGCCGACGACGGAAGGAGAAGGGATAGGCATAGGCGAAGGGAAAGACGGAGGTGAGTGGCTGGTCTGGAGGAGAGGGAGCGGGGCTGACGGGGATAAGACAGACAGGCCGCGCGGCTCGAGAGACGACGGCCGACACATACACACATATCGCTGGGACGAAGGAAGGCACGGACAAGCGGGAGGAAGAAAGGAGAAAGGTGCGTCCCCTGCCCGCCCGCGCTTGCGGTCGCTGATCGCGGGCAGACATGCATCCGACGACGACGACGACACCGACGCCGGGGATGGGCGTAGCGACAACGGGGACGACGACGACGAAGGCGGCGGGGACGGGCCCGCCGCCGGCTGCGCGGCGGACGCTGCTGGGGCCGTCGCTGCACACCAACGGGCACAACAACCACCACTTCCCCCACGACAAGCCCGCGCCGGCGCTCGTCCCGCAGAAGCGCAAGGCCCCGGGCAAGGCCGCGCCCAAGGACGGCGGGGAGGAGGCGATCCGGTGCATCTGCGGGAACGCGGAGGACGACGGGTACTCGATCGCGTGCGACGCGTGCGGGCGGTGGTGCCACTGCACGTGCTTCGGCATAAGGGAGGGGCGCGTGCCCGCGACGTGGCGCTGCTGGGTGTGCGCGCCGGCGGAACATGCAGGGGGGAGTAATAAGCGGAGACGGGGGATCATCGCGGGCGCGGAGGAGGAGGAGGAGGTGCAGGAGGGCGTGCAGTACGTGCGCATCGAGGAGGACGTCGTCTCCGCCGAGGCGCAGCGCAGACTGCAGCGCTTCGCGAGCAGCTGGCGCGGCGTCAGCGCCGTCGACGCGACCGTCCCGCGCGCCCGGTCACACACGCCGTACGTCTTCGGCGCCCCGCCGACGCCGTCCCCGACCGTTCTGCACGCGCTCCCCGCGCTGACCCCCGCCGCCGCCGTGCGCCCGCCGAGCTACGCGCTGCACACCGCCGCGCCCGCGCGCCCCGCGACGCTGCTCGCGAGATATCCCAGCAGCATCACGAGCAGCCAGGCGTACCTGCGCGCGCCGGCGAACGGGTACGCGGCCGCGGGCGCGCCGAAGCGCTTCGTGCACCTCGTCGGCCCGCCGCTCGACGTCGCGCTCGACGCACGGGGGAGGGGGGGCAGGGCGCGGTGGGCGCGGAGCGGGTGCTGGCCGAACGCGGAGGTGCGGGCGTATATCTGCGACGCCGCGCCGCCGGGCCCGAGTGGGAATGCGAAGAAGAAGGGGAAGGGGAAGGGAAGGGCGGTGGAGGACCTGCTGGAGCCCGAGGGGGAAGGCGTAGAGCCGCGCACGCATTTCGGGATATTCGCGACACGGGAGCTGGAGAGGGGGGAGGAGATCGTGCTCGGGTGGGAGTGGGACGACGGCGCGGCGGTGCATCGGCTGAGCGAGGTCGCGGAGGAGGCTGGGTGAGTGCTTCTTTTTCGACGTCCCTCGTTTGCTGTTTTCTTTCTCGTTTCCCCCTCACTTGTTGTTTTCCTTCTCCTTCCCCCTCACTTCTTTTTCTCTTTTGTTCCATCGCATTTTCTTCGTGCTCTTCACCCGTATTTAGTCCTTGACTTGCTCGTTTTCGTATCCCTCTTGCCCTTTTTCTCCGACCATCTCTCCCCTCGTTCTTGCGTTTTCCCTGATGCTTGGTCGCTGTTTCCTCACCTGCTGTTTTCCTTTTCGTTTTCCCCTTCTCGGCTTTTCTTCCCGCTCGATTTCACCTCCGCCGATTTTCTGCTCGTCTCGAGCCTTTGGCGCCAACTCTTCCCCCGTAATTTGCACCTCTGCCCTCTCCTTGGACCTTCTCCTCCCAATCCCTCATTTTCATGTTTCCCTGCTTTGGCCGCTGTCTGTTCGGTCGCGGCGGTTGTCTCCCCGCAGTACTGCGCCCCGTTCTGCATACTCTGCGCTGACGTTTTTGCTGCGCCCGTTGTCGTCGGTGGCCTCCGTCTTTTTCTTTTGATTATTATCATTATCATTATTCTGGGGCTATTTCGTCTTCTGGCGGCGTCTCTTTCTTTTCTGTCCTCTCCCCCTTTGTTTGCGTCTTCCCGTGCCTATCCGCGTGCTTTTTTGCCCATCTTCGTCTTTTCTGGTTTGGCTTCGTTCTGCGTCATTCTCCTCTCTCGTTTCCCTTCCGTGTTGGTTGCCCGCTTCTTTTCTCCCGTTGTTTCTTTTCGTTATCTGCGCCCTTGCCTTCGATGTCTTTTCCATGTGCCCGCACTCGGCACGATGCTCCCTTTCCCGCTCTCAATTTCTTGCGTCTCTTGCCCTGCTTTCGGGCTTCTCCATCCTCGCCTATTATCGTCCATCTCCTTCCCTTTGGTCTCCGCTTCCTCGTGGCTTCTCCTTCTGCGTTTTATCGCGTTTGCCATCTCTTCGGCTTTCCCCTGTCCTCCCTTCTGTTCGTTTTCGTGCTCATCTTTTGCGTCACCTCTCTCTTTCGCTGTTTTCCTGCTCGTCTTTTTTAATCTTCTTCGCGCATCTTCTCGATTTCAGCTCGACCCGTTTCTTCTCCATCTTGCGTTTTTTTTTCTTTTTCGACAACTCTTCGCCTCCCCTTGTATTTTGTCGCTCGATTTCATCTTCTTGGGCTTCCTCTTGCTTCCCTTCCCCTCCCATTTCGGTTTCCCTGCGTTCCTTGGTCGGCGTCTGTCGGGCGCTTATTCCCGATCTCCTTTTTTTTTTCTTTTATTTCCTTGCCGCTTTTTGTGCGGGCTATCTATCTTCCCCCTCCGTCTTCCGTCTGTCATATCCTGCCCTCGCTTGTGGCTTTTGTCGTGGGCGCCTCTTCCCCGGTCATCTTCGCTTCCCTTCCTTGTTTCGCCCCCTGCGCTTCCTCCCCGTCCTCTGCCCCCGCCATATACGCTTGCTGACCCCCGCCCACAGCGTGGCCGCCTGCCCCACGCCCGCGCAGCGGCACCTCCTCGCGCAGCTCGCGGGCATCCTGCACGCGCTGGGCAACGACGCGTGTGCATGCGCCGGCGCCGCGCATGCTGGAGAAGAAGAAGAAGAGGACGCGAAGAAGCGGTGTGTGCTGCAGACGATCGAGGGCGTCGTGTTCCCGCCCGCCCCACACGCGATGGACGTCGACCCCCCGCCCGGAGTCCAGCCGACGACCCCGGCCCCGGCCCCGGCGCAGGCACAGCCGCAGAAGCGCCGCCGGCTCGCGGGGCCGGGGGTGCCGCCGCCGAGCCCGCCGCCGCGCGGCGCGGGCGGGCGCTGGGGGCCGCTGGTGGGAAGGGAAGGGGGGGTGCGGGTGCGTGCACGGCCGCGGGGCGGGGGGGACGGTGGGGGGGGGGAGCGGGTGGGGGGGGGAGCGTGCTTGAGGAGGAGGACGGGGGGTATGAGGTGCTGGAGGGGAGTGGGGGCGAGGGGAGGGAGGGGAGGGAGTGGGTTGTTGTGCGGCGGGGGGAGGAGGAAGAGGATATCGATATCATTGGCGAAGGAGAAGGTCCGCCGCGGCACCACCGGGCCCGGCCGCGCCCCCGGCCCCGGCCGCGAGCAGACGAGGCGCAGGCGAAGGGGGGAGGCGCTCCCGCCGCGGAGTCTGCGGAAGGCGTGGATGGAGGTGGCGCGGGTGGTGGAGGCGCAGGAGAAGGCGAAGGCGAAGGAGGGCAAAGGAAAGGGGAGGGAGAGGGAGAGAGAGATGGAGGGAGAGGGGGATGGGGACCAGGACCGGGATGGGGAGGAAGGTGCGTCGTTGTTCTTGCATTCGGTGTTTGTGCTGGCGCGGTTCTGCACTCGTCATCGGCTCGCTGTCGGCTCCCGTTGCTGACGCGCTTGTGCAGATTCCCAGAACCGCCAGCTCCGCGTGCGGCGGGCGGCCACGGACGAGGACGATGGTGCGTGTCCCCGTTCTCACTCGCGCTCCCTTTTTTTTCTTACCGTGCTGACGACTTTTTTCCTTTTCTAGATATGCGCACCCGCATGCGTCCGGAGCGGACGGCGCCGGATGAAGAAGACGGTGCGTTCTTTTGTTCCCCTTTGTTGTTTTCCGCGCGTGTCGTTCTCTTGCTTTTGCGTCGCTCTCCCCTTCTGCGTGCGCCGTGGGATATCGCCCCGCTGTCGTGGTTGCTTTCCCTGTTTCCTTCGCACCTTTTCTTCTTCGTGCGGTCGCGCGCTCTGGTGTCGGTGGTCGTGTCGTCGTGTCGCTGACCTCCGCCGCAGATATCGGTATCCACCGCCACCTACAGCGCCGGCGGCACACGCGCTCGCCCGCGGACCGCGATGTGGACGGTGCGTCTCTTGTCTCCGCCCGCCCCGCGTCGGGTGCTGATGTGTGGCTGCAGATATGCCCCCGCCACCGCCGCCGCCGCCGCCGCCGCCGCCGCCACCACCGCTCGCCTCCTCCAACTATACCACCGATGTCCCGAGCCCGTCGCCCAGCGCGTCCTTCGCGCGGATGCGCATCGTGTCGCCGCAGGCCGACGCTTCACCTGCCGCTGCGTCCGCGTCCGCGTCGGCGGTCTGGAGGCCGCCGGCGGGCGGGTGGATGAGAAGGGATGTGGACGTGGACGTCCTGCCGGCTGCGTCGATCGCGGCGCCGGGGCCGGCGGATGGACAGGAGGACTTGCACGCCGCGGCGGATTTGTTGATGTTCCTCGCGGGGAACAGCGCGGGTGTGTCCCCGCCCGCGCCGGCGGCGGTGCCGGCCCTGGAGCCGGAGGCCGCGACCACGCACGTGTCGGAAACACGAGAGTCAAGATCGCGCTCGCCGACGTACACGCCTGCGAGCCCGCCGACGGTCTCCCGCTCCCGCTCCCGCTCGCGGTCGGCGTCCGCGTCGCCGGTGTATACGCCGCGCTCGCCGCCGGCGGTGGCGGTGTCCGCCGATATGGACCTCGACGTCGACGTCGTTGGAGATGTGGATATCGAGGAGCGGGAGTCCCCGGAGAGCCCGCCGCCGTACGAGAGCCCCGAGGTTCTCTTCAACAACGACCATGAGCTGGGGCCCGACCCGGATATTGACGTGCTGATGAACGAAGGGCAGGAGGAGTACAGGCCGAGCCCGGCGAGCCCGAGTCCGGCGCCGGAGGAGGGCGAGGGGGAGGGCGGGGGGCGGGGGCGAGGGCGAGGGCGAGGGCGGGCTGGGGTTGCGGGTTGGAGGGGAGGTGGAGGAGGGCGAGGTCGATGAGCTCGAAGAGGACCATCCGCCCCCGGAGCCAACGCCACCAGAGCAAGAACCGCCGCCCGGACCGGAACCCGACCCACTGCCCGAACGGGAGCGGACGCCGACGCCGACGCCGCCGCCCGCGCCGGTGCCCGTCGTGAAGGTGACGCTGAAGGAGTGGAAGGCGCGGCGGAAGGCGGACGAGGAGGCAAGGCTAAGGATGAAGGCGGCAGAGGCGGAGGCGGAGGACGGCGTCAGCGGGGACGTCGAGGAACCGCCGGCCGTGCCCGTGCCCGAGACGCCGGCCGCCGCCGAGGCCAGGGTGGACAACACCAACGGCGATGGAGACGGAGACGGGCTCGCGGCGGTGCTCGCGGGCATCCGCGCGTCGGCGGCGGAGGCGTTCGCCCCTCCCGCGGCCAGGCCGGCGCCGGAGATGGTGAAGAGCGCGCTGAGCATGGAGGCGTTCGTGGCGACCGGCGCGGCGCTGTCCCCGCTGATAGTTGGGGGCGTGCTCGACTCGCCCGCGGTGAACGTGGTGAAGGAGCCGGAGCCGGAGCCGGTCCAGCCGCCCGCGCCGTTCGGGTATAGCAAGACGCCGACGGAGCTGTTCTCGTTCCCCGCGAAGGTGAACGTGGGGCCGGGGCCGCCGCCGGGGAGCGCGCCGCCGACGTTCTCGTTCCGGTTCCGCGCGCCCGTCAAGGAGAGGGAGAGGGAGGAGGGCGAGATAGTACCGCCGCCGCCGCCGCCGCCGGTGAGCGCGCCGGTGTCGTCCAGCTTCACGCCCACGCCCACGCCGAGCTACTCTGTTCAGCAACACCACCACCCTTCGCTGCACCAGCAAACACAACACCTCCCGGCGCCGCCGCCGCCGCGGCGCGACCCCGCGCAGCCGCCGACGCAGCCGCGGTCGTACCAGCTCGCGAGCGCGCGGGGGAACGCGCGGCCGCCGCCGAGCGCGCCGAAGGCGCTGCGCGAGGCGGGGATGAACGGCGGCGCGGGCGCGGGCGGGCTGGGCGCGGGCGCGGGCGCGGGCGGCGGTGGGCCGGGGGCGAATGGAGTTAATGGCATCGGGCTGGGCGGTGGCAGGGGCGCGGCGGGGTGGAAGCGCGGCGGGGCGGCGGGGGGGAGTGCGGCTGGGGGTGGGGTGGGGGGGTATAAGGGCCGGTGACGGATGGTTTCTCGTTTCTTTTTCTCGTATCGTTTTCTCTTTTTTCTTTTCTCTGTTTCTGTCTGTTTCTTTGATCGCCTGTCGCTAGCTATCGTGTCGCGTGTCTAACGTTATTAGTATATCCCTCTTTACTCTCTCTCTCTCTTTCTCTGATGTTGTGATACAATACAATAGTGGTATTCCGTGTTTATTGCGATTTTCATAAATGATGGCCTTTCTAAGAAAACAGTGTGATGTGTGAGCCACGGCCGCATCTCTTTCTGTGGACTGCTCCCAGTGCTACATGCAATACTTGTTTCCTGCGCGGCCTTGGGCAGCGGCGGCCCGCGCGGATGGGCCAAAATGTGTGCGTTCACAGCCCGAATACTTAATACCCGTGGGCTGCGGCGAACCCGTGCCCGGGCGAGGGCCGCAAATCAGGCCGTGCGCAGGCGCTTCTGGTATGGTTTTTCGTTTTTCGTTTTCTGCCAGTGGTTGAGGTCTGATACGTATCGTTTTCTCTTGCTCTGTTTCCGTCTGTTTCTCTGGTCGCCTGTCGCTAGCTATCGTGTTGCGTGTCTAACGTTATTAGTATATCCCTCTTTACTCCCTCTCTCTCTCTCGCTGCTGTTGTGATACGATACAATACAATACGACGTCGTGGTTTCTTCGCCTGGGCCGCGGACAGCGGGACAGCGGCGGCCCGCGCCACTCCGACGGGCCAAAATGCATGCATTCCCAGCACGAATACTTAATACGCGGCGGGTGCCGAACCCGCGTCGTCAAGGCCCTCAAGGTGCAGCAAGACGCAGCAAGCCCTCAAGCACGTTCGATTCATCACGTCAGCACCTGCGAAGCCATGTGGGGTGGCGCCTTCATGCGGGGGTGGCGGGCCGCCGCCGGCCGGGCGGGCAGAGTGGGGCACGGGAGATGCGCTGGGCGGCGCGAGAAACGCAGGACCAGTGCGAGACAGCGACGCCGGCGGGCCGGGACCAATGTATGCCCATGTTCACACCGGGCGCAATGGCAACGGCGGCTGGGAAATGGGAGTGTGATTGACAGCCCATGTGGCAGACCACATGGCGGACCCAACGGGGGTTCCAACGGCAGCCAGCCATTTCTTTGTTACGAACTCTTTGTGCAAAATAAAAAGTACGTCAAAGGCTAGCATTTCATATATACCAAACACACTATTATGGACATGTACAGCCGCAGCCGGTGCTGTGAATCGGACCAAATCAGCCTGACTCGGAGAACTTCCGCGAGCACCAACGCCTACACATCGCTCCAAGTGTCTACGAGCAGCCTTCACAGCAGCGTCAACGGCGTCTCGGCCATCTAAGCAGGCATGCAAATGCAACTCAGACATTGCCAAAGAGGCCCCCAACAAGCGCAACAGCGATGTAAAACATGTCTCCGGTCATGCATGACGTCAGCCCACTTGCCTTCACGCAATGGTATGGCCTGTGCGGACCGAAACCGCCGACTCGGAGTGGACAAGATGAGCTGCGAGCGCTAAGATCATACTGGCGGCTGGGATATTGGAGGAACTTGCGCAGGAGAAAAGCGATTTGCCCCGGAGACCTCGTCGGGCCAGCCGGAGGCTTGCGGTAGGTGCCATGTTGGCGCTGCCCATGCGGAAATTGGCAGCAGGAGAGGCCAACACACACACTATTCTCGGGCATCAGCGGTTCGACGTGGCTGAGGCTCCTCAGCGCGTCGCACGGCGCCGAGACGCGTGGAGCATGTCAGCGCATCTTCTTGTGGGTACTAAAAGATGTGGATGTTGGGCTCCGAGGCCTAACACGGGGCCAAGCGGGTGAGTTTCGACCAGAATTGGGGTATATTGCCGTGTGCATCCAGTGAGATCGGCACCACAAGTGGTGTGATCGACGACAGCGGCCACAAAACCTTGCTGTTCGCGCGCCCATTCGCCACCGCGATGGTGTGCCGTGGCGATTTTTCGCAGCAATTCTCCTGAAACTGGGTAGAATAAGTACTATCAAGTAGCAAGTCCGAGGTGCAGGCCGGTACCTCGACTCACCTTCCTGTAGGCTATCAGGCCTCTCTCAGACGCTGCACCCGCCTGCCTTCCAGTCCTTCCGGTCCTACTCTGCCATCATTGGCGGCCTTCGACGGCCTGTGTCATCCGATGGTGGTGGTTAGGAAGCAACAGACATGGCGTGGGAGCCTCGCTCGGACAACCGATCCGGCTTGCCGGGCTCACATTCTCAACAGCATGCTGGGCGGCCTAGGCCCGCAGATGCGGTCTTTCACATTGCGGGCGGGCAAGGGCCTAGTTTATGGTGATAGTAGACAGTGTGCGGCCATTGTAATAGGGAATCAAATATGTGTTTTTGGAGACAAAGGGATTGACAAAGAAATCCGACTGCCATTGGAACCGCCGTTGGGTCTGCCATGCGGTCTGCCCCACAGCCTGTCAATCAGACTGTCATATCTCAACCGCCATTGACATTGCGCCGAGTGTCATATAGGTATAAAGTCACGACGTTGAATTCTACAACGATCTATTGGGGTACTACTAAGTGGACTCGGATGCGGGTGCTCCAAGTTACAAGTTCTGGGCCCAGAAATCATACTGGGATTATATACTCCCAGGAAAGATTCTGGGCCCAGAACTCATTCTGGCTGGCTGGCCGCCTTGGGATGGCATGGCCGGCGCCCCACGGGCCACGGCTCCCAAGAGCGCCCCAGAAAAATGCAACTTTGCTGATGAATCCGATGGGCCAAAAATTTATGCGTTTGCAGCGAACCCGCGGCCAGGCGAAGGAGCGTGAAATTCGAGCCGTTCGCCATCAGTTGCCACAACGTTGGATACCATCGGACATTCGTCCCGTGCACAATTCTGTGGGTCCCATGCTGCAGTGCGGGCGGTTTCCGCGCGGATCTGCCGGCGGCTGCCCCGGGCAGGGGTAAAACAGGAGGCGCCTTGGGAAGAGAATACAATGCAACGCCGTGGTTTCTTGCGCAGCGGCCCAACGCCGAGCCGACGTTGATCCGACATTGATCCGACAGGCCAAAAGTTTATGCGTTTATCATGATAGCGAACCATGGAATGCCCGTGGGCTGTGCCAGTGGCCCGGCGGGCGTCGAACCCGCGCCGGGGTGGGGGCGAGGGACCGGGACGCACGACCTGCCGGCCCATGCGTCAAAAAAAAATTACCACTTTACATTTAATACCAATGATCCGCGGCCGGGCGGGCGTCGAACCTGCACCAGGGGCGGCTGCGCTCGAGCTCGCGCTCTCAGGCTCTTGGACTGATGCTGTGGTACAATTAGTGCTAGCAAAGTGCATCGTGGTATTCCATCGTCGCGGTGCCTGTGTGCCTCCGGTGTGTGTGGCTGCCCGGCAGCCGGTACCGCCATCGTGACCCTGACCGGACGCCCGAGCGCAAGCGGCCAAAGAAAAGGTGCCGTGGGGATGCCAGACTTCAAACTGAACGTCCCATCAACGCGCTGGGCCTCGAACCCACGAACGGTGTGTGTCCATGGTGCTGCGCCGAAAGTGCATGTTAAGTAGGTTAAGTAGTTGTGCCTCTGGAGCTCCAACTATTAAAATAGAAACACAAACATAAATAGTAATAAATGTTTAAAAACCCAAATATCTATAAACAATTCTGGTAATCAGACACAAATTGAGCAGTTGTACATTAACAAAGAGGAAACATCAACATTTGAGCTCTGATGGCCTTTTCAAATCCAATACCACCATCAAAATAAAATTTCCGTTGACTATACTGTAGTAATTTATTCAATTCGGCACCCCAAAATGGTGTGACATCGGCGCTGAAATTAAATTTTTCGGCACATTTGACATTCGGCATCTGGCTGTGGGCCCGTGACACGCCAAAATATTTCGGCGCCGGAGGGGCCGGTGTGACGCGTGACCACCGAATTGAATAAAATGCTACAGTATTACCAAATCAGGAAACATGAAATTTTGTTAAGTAGTAAGAAGACGTAATTTGAACTTTAGAGACATAAAAAATCTGATTTTCATTATAGTGTCAAAGTGTTTATAAAGCTTAGAAATACACTGTCAACATGAATTTCAATCTGCTAGAAGTGGAAACCATTTGAACTATTTATTTGTATGTGATTTCTGTTTGCCCAAGTCCACAAATAAAATGGCCCTTTAAATATTTATTATCATTTATAAATATTTACAAATAGAAAAGGTTGGAGCCCTAGGTGTATCCTTTGTCTACGTGGTTTGGCACTACCTGTTGATAGTTGTGCAGCCCTGCTAGGTTGAGCACAGCAGTGCAATGGAGTCCCAGCGTTGGCATCAGCGCTGCAACTGAGGGATTGACAAAAAGGTTTTTCAATTCTGTCTCAACAAATCGGCCACGCCAGCATTGGGTACCGGTGCCGGTCAGGGTCGCAGTTGCCATTGGGTCGAACCCACTGCTGGGGCCACAGCCATGCACTCTTAAGCTGAGTGTTAGCAAAACGCATAGTCAGAGATAATTGATAATTGATAGATGTAGCATAGAGTGTACGATTTGGCGTATCGTTTTTCTTTCTCTCTTTCTCTCTGTTTCTGTCTGTTTCTTTGATCGCCTGTCGCTAGCTAGCTATCGTGTGTCTAGCGTTATTAGTATATCCCTCTTTACTCTCTCTCTCGCTGATGTTGTGATATGATACAATACAATACGAAGTCGTGGTATTCTGTGTTTGGTGTGCGGCCTTGGGCAGTGGCAGTGGCTGCCCACGCCACTCCGATGGGCCAAAGGTTCATGCGTTTGCAGCGAACCATGGAATACCCGTGGGCTGTCGCTCGGCGGGCGCCGAACCCGCAGCCGGGCGCGGGATCGCCGGCGGGCAGACGGCCGTTCACCTTCAGTTGACAAACCGTTGGATACACTGCGGGCAATGGAGCATATTCCGCCCTGGAATATGTTGAGAATATTATGAATATTACAGGGTGTATTCATTCCATTTTCTAGGCCGGAATATGACAGGAATATCCGTGGAATATTCTTAATTTTCTCACCATC